CCCTGCCCAGGGGCAGCCGCAGCTCCCCGCCACCATGTCGTCGTACTGCTTGAGGACCACGTTCTCGTCATCATCGAAGTAGAGGAGGTTGATGGAGTAGAGCTTGTCGGGCACGCAGCAGGGGCTGCTGACGCCCTCGCTCAGCTTGAGGGCGTTGATGATGGACTGCACGGTGGCGTGGTTCGTCGGTCGCATGTTCTCGCCCAGCGGGAAGGGGCAGGAGCCCTTGCAGTGGTAGGCGTTGTACCCCCGCGGCGAGATGATCCAGCCAGACCAGCCGATCTCCTCGAAGTCCACGGACAAGGGATGCCTCTGGCAGGGCTGGAGCCGGTCCAGTGAGCGCGTGCTGCGTGGCCCGGTCACCTTGGGCACCGACATCTTGGCAGGGAGAACGGGAGCCTGAGGCTGTAAATCTGCCAGAGAGGAGCACCCGATGCCATTAGCGTCACACGAGTCTGGGAGGAGGGAGGACACGGTGCAGCTCCCCCCACCCCCACCCCCTACCCAAAGGTCTTGGCCACATCTGCCTGGTGCAGCGAGCCGGTCGGTCACAGCCTGCCTGCAGGCAGAGCCACCAGGAGGTGACAACCTCACAGCCCCACGGCCGCGCTCATCAGAGCAAGCAAAATCTAGATTTACATCTGCGAGCCTGCACGGCTGCACAGACTAAACCAGAAAGGAGACGGCCTGTGCCTCCTGGCCAGAGAAGCAGCTTTGGATTTGAAGGAGCCCCTGTGCAGGGAGGACCCCAGCACCCCACGGGCGAGGGGACGGCGGCGCTGAGGGAGCCATGCCAGGGCGTGTGGGACCCACCTGGGAAGCCGGCCATGGGCAGGGACGCTCCCCGGCGCCCATCGTCCGTGAACAGGACCAACATGGGCTTCTTGCTCTCGTGGTGGTCCCCGCTGGAGGCGAATTGCAGTGGTGGGGGGTCGAGCGGGCTCCCGCCCAGGCCCTGGACTGTCACCAGCAAACCCTGGTTGCTGCTTTCATCTTCAGTCCAGTCACGAACCTGGGGAAGCAAACTGGTGTCACCGCAGGCCAGGAGAGGCACCGCGCCAGTGTCCCCACTGCCCCCCAGTGCCCCGTCAGCAGAGGGGCAGAGTGAACTGGGACAGCTGTGGCGACACTCCATCCCCCAGCCATAGGGAGGGGATGTGCAGCTTCGGGGCTGCGGCACAGGCGACATCGCAGCAGGAGCCAGCACCGGCGTTACCTGTGGAGCAGTGGGACCAGTCTGGGGCCGGATGGGACC